CCAAGCAAAAGCGCACTTACTAATCAGTGACAAGAATAGGTGGAATATTTAGACAACCAATCAGTAAATCGAAAAAAACCGTTACATTGGCTAATGCAAGGGGACTTCTTCTTAGGCTTGTGCTAAACGGTCACCGTTGTGCTACAGTTACATTGATGTCAGAAGACGGAAAGACGCGTGTTTCAGTCTAGATAAAGTTACCTTGTTTTTGCTAGCGATGACATAGCCAAGATGACCGCTCGGGTACGTCGGGACGATGTTGTAGGCGTAGCCGACAACCGGAAAAACTGCTCTACAGAAGCCCAGTAGTCGTTGGATTATAGGGACATCCAAGAACATCGTTTCACCTATATAACAGTACAAATCGAACCAACACATTTAGAAGACGCAGTTTGCGAAATCGTGTCTGCGGCGATAAACTATAGTGGTGCTCTCTAAAGGCTTATCAGCAAATCACAAAATTCGGCTTCACGACAGCCACTCCTCAGAATCCTAAGAACCCCAAAGAAGGACGCAGTTGATTTGACTGAACCATTAAAATGTGGTCAGTATCTTTATGACAGTACCAGACGTTTAAAAGCTCCAAAACACATTACTGCTTAAAAAAGGCAAGGGCAAATTTGACTGGATATTGCTCAGTTACAGAGCAGAGTCAGTTCCTTTGAACTGATGGAAGACATTTCAAGAAGGAACTCATACTTAGGTGCTACAACCGCTGTGGTGTCGACAACTAAATAATGTATGGCAGGCTTTGATCAAAGACGTTGTCGTAATTGCATTATTCAAAACATCTTCTGCCCGTTTTGTGCGTGCATTCGTGATTCACGGGAACTCGTTGCCACATAAATTTGTCTGAAGACGAAAAACATGAGGCAACATTCAGGATCATGCATGAGGATCACCGATACCACTGCTACGTTACAAGCGTTGGTTGAAGAGACAACTAACATTAGAAATAAGCATTGTGGAGAGGTACTGACAATGCGGATAAGGCCTTTTACAGGTACGAACCGAGATCACTACATTTTCACACGTTCATTCAAGTGATGCCATCACCGCATTCGCACTACTCACGTCGACGGTTCATCGCTAACAGCATCTCAATACTGAAGTTGCCTCAAAAGATTCGTCATTTTACCAGAGCTGGACCTGCGCTGTAACGGGCGAGCGTCCAGACATCGGGTCCAAACAGACATTTTCTGGTTTCACCGAAGCAAAGGAGATGCTGTTTAATTACGGTGGAGCACCAACTTTTGTTTAAATTTACTGTTGGTGTTGGCGCCAGTTTATAGTATAAACGAATACCAACTTTAACGACTCCTTCCAAATTCGGAAACCGCGGAAACTTCAACACAATCAAACATTTATTTGAAGAACAAGTGCACGTCTGTGAGATAAGTTAATCTCCTGTGGTTGTCAAGTACACTATTTCATGCATTTAGGCAATTAAGGTTCTAGACGAGGCCATTTAGATAAAGGTGTTTGAAGAGAAGAGATCGTCCTAATATTCCTAAAAATTTGCAATAGCAGGAGAGGTTTGCAGCTGTCCAATGTGGAAATTTACCACAACTAAAAACCTACGATTACAATTGGACCTGCTTTGAAGTTGTTCAAGGAAAGGCAATTCGAACGAAGAAGTATTGACCATGCGGACAAGGCCATTTCGAGGATCCACCTCCTGTCCAAAAGGTCATTTTCGGCAAGAAATATCTAAAGAATGTGACTAGTCCGGAATGTACTTTTAAGCATTACATGAGTTGCATGGCTAGGACAACTATTTAGTAATATGATCATCCACTATTTTTCAGGTTGTTTTAACAAATCAGGATGTGCCAATATCATAAAACCAGCCACGCGGCTATGCTCCTTTTTATCAGCCAATGTACACAGGTAGTAAATGAGACTTTGCCATGTCAGAAAATCGATATATTGCGGACCGCTGGAGTCACGTTCAGTCGGATTATTTTCTGTTGTTAACGCACAAATTAAGTAACATTACTCATGTCCTAGGACAATTAAAATTTGCTTTCGTCTAGTTCAATAAACCACGGCAAATAGCAGATAAGAACGGGAGTATGCTCTATCGTTAAATGTTTGTACTTATTAAAGTTAAATAAACGCACTTTCCCAGAAATTTTCCAGCAAAAGATTCACATCTCGCTCTACTCTTAGTAAATACGACACGACTTCGCAGTGATTTATAATAACTCGTAAACCAGTGTTTTGTTTGCCTTACAGACTGAGACAGAGAATGCAAACAAGATCCATAAATTAAACACACGACTAAAGGAGGCCATACGAGAAAGCGAGTCGTTGATCATAGTGGGAGCTTGGAAGGAATGGGCAAACAGTCCCACCCTTCAAATTATCATAAAAGAATAGAATCCCCACGATAAAGGGAATTCATCGTCATCAAGAAACGAGTATTTTCAGGTTCAAGAGGCTACGGCCTCCAGCATTGGGTGGTAGCATCGCTTACACCAACTCTTCTTAAAATTGGGGCACAACTTATGGAGGCCACTTTGCCAATAGATTTTGTTAGCGAATCAACAATTGAGCAATGATTCCTTTATTTCACACTCTTTTACTACCTACAAGGAAGAAATTCACAGTAACCTTGGAAAGGGAGATGTGCTGCGAATGATTCACCACACAGAGATGTCGCTGGTGGTTTAGAGAGGAAATCCACAGAGTCAGAGACGCATAACGAGAGGACGATCATTGACTAGAGAGGTGGGGTCTGTCCAATTTTCGATTACTGGTGGGTGCTACCAGTCAATGTGTAACGCTGATGTCATCAGGTTTCCGAAACAAGTCTGAAAGTTCCAACTAGTCTGGAAGGCAGATACTTCGATGTCGCAAGCGTTTCTACAAGCTAATCCTTAGCGATACGTGATTAAGCAGTTTTTCTTAACACTTCTCAATACTAATAGTGGCTTCTACACTGTACCAAGCGTTGATTCGACTAGAAAGGCTTACTTGCATCCATGACTGGTCCACTTGATGTCAACTGACATGACCTGGATCGGTTTAAAATCAACGGATTTTAGACAGATGAGAATCGGTCACCTATCTCAGTGTTGTATTAATAATTAATCAATGCCTTCGATTCTCAGAGTATCTCCGGAAAGCCTGCGGTCCCCTTGTCAGCATCAATGCATACAAAACACATTCCATCAAGAAACTGGAAGGAGAGAAATAGGAGTAAAAAGTGTGTCCGAACACCACTGCAGATGGAAAACAAAAAGCGTAACCACTAAATCAAAACATACCGCAAGAGTGACAACACAACAATTCAAACTACCCACAGCGGTTTGACCGACAGGGATCTATTCAATACGTCAGAAAGTGTGAAGCTGATTTATCTACTTAAACAAGTGTGCAATTCGTGCACTTATTTGTTCTAGTAACGCCAACTGACTAACTAAACCTGCCTTCGCGCATTACTGAAAGAAAGTGCTTCGAAATCCACAACGCCGCTTGACTAGCGTGAACCGATGAAAATCAGTGGCGAATTGCCCTAGCGCACTTGCAGCACACAAGTCGGACCAAAACAGATTCACATTCTCCACCGTGAAAATAACGCAACAAGACGAACGAAAACACGACGGTGTAAGGAGGTGATTGGCTAGTCACAGTGGCCACTTTACCGTCCATCAGGCAAAATTACTAGTGGTTTAGACACTCACCTTGGTTACAAATAATTCCCTTGTCTGTGAGAGTTTGGTTCAGCAACTGGAAGTACTCCTTGTTGAAGAGAGGTGTGGAAGGACCTGTAAAATGAAGGCACGAAACACAGTAACAAAACAGTCGTCAAATAATTTGGTGCTTGAAAATGGTTACAATGTGCCGCCATATGGAGAATGTCTTTGAACACCTAAGGTCGATGTTCATGTCATGTCGGGTGATGTGGTGTAGATTAAGGGTTATGCACACAGTTAATGTGCTTATTCCACAGAGTGAATTCATGTCAAGTCGCCCACTGATATTCCCGAGCAATTTCAAAGATACCCACGCAGGAAAAGTTCTGAATAGTTCCACCGTGGTGGAATACCTGATAGCACTCCGCAGCATCTTAAAGCAACGCTTTTGAGAAAGTACTCACGTTTACCTGGATTATAATGTTACGAAGACTGAGCCAACGAGAGAACAACCACATAAATTTGTGAAAACGGTTTGAGTCTGGTGCGTGACTTGGACACTCGGTTGAGCATGAATAGACGGCCAAACACTATGTACGTAGATCGTAAATACCCCTGTCTGTATAAACTAAAAACCGAACGCAGTTCTAACATGTCTGCGGGGATGAGATTAAAATAATCCACCCATTTGAAAATTCGCGTAAACAGCGCAAAACCAGTCTGCTGTAGATATTGATTAAAATCACACGCTTTATTCAGGTTGCAACCATCGTGATGATCAAACACTCAATTTAACAAAATATTAACTGGCGTGCGTGTGATAAACGCGTATCGCATGTCTACTCGTCTTTCAACACCTTGGTTTAATCAATTTGTATCCTAACATGAG